TATGTGTTTCTGTGTGCTAGCAATAACCCCACTCTTGTTCTCTGGCTCTTTTTTCATTAATCCGGTTGTCCTCAAGCATTCAATTAGCTGTGGAATCTCTGATCAATGTGAACTGTAAAAGCATGCCCTATGAAGTTAAATGGGGATTAATTATTGAATACCAGTGCTCCTGCTTGTTCTATAATCTGCCAAAAAGCAAAAACAAGGAGGTTCAGAGGAAGAGGAGAAGAAGGATGTTTTCCTTTAAAGATGGCTGTGGGTTAAGTTAAAGATAATACAAGGCGCTGTTATAAGTCTAAGAGCTAATGTCTCTGTTCATCTTGTGTTATAAGTTTTTATTGGCTAATTAAACTAATTCTGACTCTCCTCAGGGAACGTGTCTGCATTTCTGTGTGTATTTGTAGTCCATGTTGTACACAAAGTTGGGTATAACGCCTTAAGGTGTGTACACACCGGACCTGTTTTTTTTTTCGCTGTCGCTCGGTTCGCCCCTTTGATATCGCTTCATCGCTCAGTTGCAACCGCTAGTCAATGTGGCAGAAATCAACAGACTCGCTTTTTCGCTTTGATGACGTCATTGAAGCAATCAGGGTATTTGGGAGGGAGGGGGGGGGGGGGGGGGGGGGGGGGGGGGGGGAGGGGGGGGGGGGGGGGTGGTGCTTGACTGTCATGACATGTCAGCTTCATTAAAAGTATAGCTGCAAATTAAAAGTAACAATAGATGAAACACACAGAGACAATACATCTGTTTGAGCATTTATAACTCTGACCGCGGCAGCAGCTGAAAATTATACATTTTGATACATGCAGGTATACATATTGCAAAACTCTGTAAAAGTACACCAAAGCATACATTGTCGTTTCCAAATATTTATTTGAAAACAAAACCATTCACACGGTCACTAAAAAAACATTTTGTTAATAATAAAAAACGAATGTAATCTCAACAGTGACCGCGCCATCCAGCGCCATCTCAAGCGATGAGCGAAAACTCGCTCTGTTGCTCTGTTGCTGTCGCTCGGAGCCCGAGCGATTTTTCTCCCGGGCGAATATACGCTCAATCGCCCGTTTGCATTGACTTTGTATGTAAACTCGTCGCTAGCGAAAAAAAAACCTGGTCCGGTGTGAACACATCTTTACAAAGTAACGCGTTAGAGTACTTTGATTACTTTTTGCAGTAATGAGTAACCTAAGCGTTAGTTTGCTGTTTGAGTAATCAAATACTTGAGTACAATTTCAAACAAGACATCAGTTACTTCCGTTACTTTTAGAACGCTGGTCCTTCAGCTCCGAAACAGCAACGGCTGTCGTTTGGTTCTAATAACGGAGATAACGTTAAACCTATTAGTCCGAAAGAAGCCACGGTGCTTGTGGCTCGCTACGTGGTCGGAGAAATGCTGCCATTGTCTATGGTGGAGTCTAAGCAGGTGGAGTAGGACTCGCTGACAGATATATTTCAGACTCAGGACTTGCATTATGCCTGGTACACGCTACACGCTGGTACTCACCAATTATCCCGGTCGTCTTTCACGGCGTGTGTGATGTCATCGGGTTATTCTTGTCCTGTTTTTATTACTTTGACTATTATTTGTGTCTGTTCATGTGCCAGCCGATATGTTGTTGTAGTCACCTAAAAGCGTCAGCAGATGGCAGGAGCTGCATTTGAAGTGCCATAAGTAAACTGTCAAGCTACTGTATCTTCCACAGGACGTTCTGACAAATGTTTCAGAATAAAAGCCTATTTAGAAAATGGAGGGATTCTCTAGCCGAGGTTATAAGGGGCTTTTAATTTGAAACAAGTGTTGAGTTTGAAATGACGGTGCGATATGGTAACTTTACAAAGACAACGGAGCGGATAAAAAGTAAATATATAAACACACAGAGGGATTAATAAATAATGGACCGTCTACAATGTAGTCTGTTTCAAATGAAGCTGGGAGCCTCTGCAGTTGTGGTGAGTAAAAGCCCCGCCGCTATTTGTTAATGTTATTACTTTATGTCCGACCGTGAGGATGTAACATTGTTTGCTAGCTTGATGCTAATGACAGTAACGTTAACTCAGCGGGTTGACAAAGTGCCTCTGCTGTTTCACACCATCATTTCCCTCTTTTACTCTGTGTGGTAACATCCCTAGAGGAAATATTAAAAACGCTGGGGTGTTGTTGTCATACAGTTGTCTACGGCAGCAGATCGTTCTGTGTTTCTACTGGTCAAAGTGACGGCTGTGATGGGAGAATTGGATCTCAGTGAAGGGCAAGTGGTCCATAACTTTAATTTTGGAGACAAAAAATGTAGGCTGAGAGCCCTGTGGTCCATTGCCCAATAGGAAATGTAGAATACTCAAAAGTACTTTAAAAGTGCTTGAGTTACTTTTCTCAGGGAGTAAAGTTGGAAGTACTTTTAAAGTAATTGAGTTACTTTACTCAGGGAGTAACGCAGTAAAGTAACTGGTTACTTTTTTAAAAAAGTAAAGCAGTAACATACTTTGATTACTTTTAAAGTAACCCTTACCCAACACTGGTTGTACAACGTGTGTGGTCACGCATTTCTGGATTTATTGTCATATTTACAACTGTGCATCAGCATCTAAAACCAAGCTACACTTTTTTCCCACTATTATTTTACCAGCCCGTTTCTTTGGCTCTGACTCATATGAATTAAAACAAAGGTTTCATCTGCTTTTGTTCAGCCCATCTTTTTGCGTTGTGCATGACACTCATGCTCATTTTCTGTATAAAATTAATTTCAAAGCTTATAAAACTAGGTGAACAGGGCTCATTGAGTTTTCATTTGCCATGTTTTTTTTCAGTGAGGGAAGATTGTCTTTTCTGGACCTGGACTCAAACTCAAAACAATATTTAATCAGAAGCACAGATTGTTTATTTGAAGTTACAGCTCCCAAAGACAAATGATCATTGCTGAAAATGTGATGTAAAAGCAAATCTGTTCATTTTGAGGCAGAATTGGCAGCCAAACCCTCGGACTTTTACTCAAATGACCCTTCACAAAGCCTAACTCCACTTAATGACTGTTGCTACATCTGTCAAGCTATTCGTTCTCGCATGCCACATAAGCAGTGCACAATGATAACGATGGCAGACTTACCATCAAAATTCCCAGTAATTATTGAAACAATGGGTTCTTTGTAGTAAACAAGAGCAGCTTCTCTGGATTTTGGCAGCTCAAATGACAACTGTCTCTAGCAGCGGTGGTTAGCTTGTGTAAGCTAATGCTAACACATAAACCCCATCGTTTACAGCTGATTGTTTTAATGTTTTGTTTCAAATGAGAACCCTGTAAAAGGGTCATAAATATCACATGATGGCTACATACATGATACCATACTAAAAGATCTGAGACTCAAACTACAGCAGCATTGCCATCAGCCTATAAGAAGGAGTAGTACCGTTCATGTATTGCAGGTCAGAGCCAGCTGTTATTCAAATAAATGAGGTAGCTGCGTGTTTTGATGCAGTGCTGTTGTCTGTTTAAACACTAGGGCTGTACCCAAATATTCGGATATTCGAATATTCCTTTCTATGGGTAGGTATTCGTTTTTTATTTACTTATTATTTTATTTTTTACATATTTTTTGGTGCTAAATGTAGTCTTTTTGTTGTGGGTAAATGTAGGTTATCAATAAAAATCAAAACTTTTAAATTGCATCGTTAAAAATGTGAAAATACAGTATCGCCTACCAACAGAGCTTGTGCGCACGGCACGCTTGAGCGCATCTGTCTGAGGCTGTGGATCAATGCCAAGTTTTACCACTTTATCACTATTCCCTCTAACTTGTAGCAGTTTTTTTGTTATCTTTTGAATTTAATATGAATTATGGAACCGTTTTTGTCAACGTTTGTTTCCCCCGCTTTGTACAATAAATTATTGTTTAAAGTTTCAACAAGTTTCTTTTGGAGTGCGTGACACAAGTGTGTTTTGAAAACGACCGTGGACTGTCACCTGCTCAACGCATCAGTACCTTCGGATGCCATGACAGTAATAGATTATAGATTAATAGATTATAATAATAATGTCAAAATATCATTTACAGACCGATTTAACAGACGATCTCTGCTGCCCGACCCACAGGTCCATTTGCGGGTCCCATGGGTTATGGGTCGACCCATGCATCACTACTCAGCTCAGTCTATAAAGGCTGTGCACAACAGTAGACATTATATTCTATTCAGGCCGGCAGAAACAGCAGCCTATCGGCTCTACAGTGCACGGCACTGCTGATTAACCATTTTATTGCAGCACAGAGTGTCTGCTTCCTACAACTTGTTTCAACGGTTCCGATCAGAAGACAAATTAAACAGGATGACTAGCCAATGTGAAAATCAAAAGAAAGCATAGAATAATGTACTGAAGGAGACTGTTGTGCCATCACATTTTTTTTGTGGTTTGAGAGCAAAGATCCGGTCGCCGCTGTGCAAAACTCCGCAATACAATTAGGTCTGAAAAAACCCCGGAGGAGTGCTTCGCAAGGAGTCTTTGAAAGGAGCCGAGCTTGGTGTAAAACTTGAGAGAGCAGGCAGCACGGCCACAGCAGCACGGACACAGATGCCAAGGGCCACTGCCTGAGCGTTGAGACTGGGTTGAAATAATGCTAGGTTACTAGTGAAGGTAGAAATCTAGTTAGCTGGGCATGCTAACATAGCAACTTACATCAGAGCAGATAAACCCACAGTTTAATCCATTCCTTATGAATTTGCTCTTGTGGTTTCAGTTTTGTAAATGCTAAAAAAGGCAGAACCCCCCAAACACTTGATAATCCCTTTTACTTGAGTGCAGTTCTTCAGCATGTAGAGAAATCCAAAGTGTGACAGGCCTGCCTTGGCTGGTTACAGTTGGTAAACTATAACTGGACAAACACTGTTAAGGGGCACCATTTTACTCACACATTTTCAGTCTACATTCCTCCTATTATTTATATTTGTCTATCACAGCCCCTATGCCCTGCTTTCCCCTGACCACCCATCCCCCTAGCTTTGACTCACTTTAGTATTTCCTTGGAGTGGCCAGTGTTGGAACTCTTTTTGTCAGGTGTCCCGAGGCAGCTTGACTTCAGTAAGGTGTGTGGCCCCCGATCCAGTATCATGGTGGAGGTCGCTGTGGCAATGACAGCCACTGCATCACGTACCCTGGCCTCGATGTTGTAGTCCCATTCGTCATATGATACAGAGATAAGCCCTGGGAAAGAAAGAAAGAGAGATGGTGTGAGGTGAGAGAAAGGCATACATGGAAAGTGGGAGGAAAAAGAAGGTGTAGAAAGAAATATGGAGAAAGATGAAAAAGAAGGGGGGAGAGAGACAGAATGGTGTGAGACAGAGAGGGAGGATACAAATAGGCAGGAAAAGGCAGAGTGCAATGAAAAATAGCCAGAGGGGGAAAGGAAATACAAAAATAAAAGCATTTTAAAGGGGGCTGAAAAGTGGAAAAACAGTGGCAATCACACCTACATCTTAATTTGGTCCAAGCCAGAGTGGAGCTATTTACTTTGCTATTTTCAAAATACAAATGCTGACATAGGTTAAAATCACGTGAAAAAAAAAAAAAAAAAAAAAAACTGAATGAGCGTCAGTCGAGACCATGGTCATCTTTCAGCTCATTTTGTCATGCTTGGCTTTTCAAGCATGAGGAACTGCTGGCTATCAGACGTCAGCATTCATTTCTTGCACCCATAAACAACCGTGTTTTCAGGTCATTTTCCATGGCTGGTTTGGATTATGTGTTCACATTTCAAACCTGCACAGTAAATCTAATGGAAAAAGGCAAACCTGCATTTTTAGGCAGCCTTGGTGGACCTATTGGTTTCACATACATGTTAAAACATGAAACTACAGGAGTAGCCTAGATCCTTCAAATAAACATGACTTGTGAGGGAAGGGGTGCATGGGAGAGCCACTGCAAAATGACAAACGGGTCTCTCTGCTGCCTGACCCGATTCCCTAGAGAGATATTTTCAAAACAACATCACTGGGAATTCTCTTAATGATGAACTCCAGTGAGGCCAAAGCTCAGACTATTATTAGCAGTGATGGCCACAATATTAAAAATAAAGCTTGTCAGTCCACATCTATCTCATATTTTTGTGAGATATTGCACAATAAATCGATGTAAAATGAACAGATACGATGAACTAACAAACTATTTATAACCTCACTTACCTGAGGTTAACAGAATTCAGTATGCACCCTACCACTGACTGGAACAGCGTAGTGCAAACACACAAGGAGAATATTTGCATATATGCAAACAAGCCCATCTGTCACTTGTGCACACATTTTAATAGAAAGCTTTTTGAAAACTTACCACAGAATAATGTTATACAGAGTTCAGTGTTTTGCTCTTCAACAATACAGCAAAGGAGTTGCTTAAATGTGTTTAAATCTGGCCCCTCTGATTTAAACGTCTGACCTCTGATTCCCTGTCTACACATTCACTGAGGTCAGTAAATTACATCAAGCAAAGGTGGGAAAGTTGGCCATACTGCATATGCTGAAATTCGAAGTACTTAAAAATTATACTCATATAAATCAACAATATAATACACTGATATGTTTACAGGTCGTCTTATTGCGCAATCAAGGCTACGGTATTCCCCAATGCTTCCAAAAACATTGTGATTCGGGATGTGCCACATTTTAACTAGGGATGCACTGATCCAACTTTGTCCTCTCCTGATACCGATTCCGATATGTTAAGTTGCAATCACAAGGATCTCTGTTTCACTTCCTTTGGTGGCTCCTATAGCGATTAGTAGTAATTGCATTGTGTTAGTTGGCAGACTTTAAGGCTTGAGACCAGGCTGGTGAATTTATTCAAATCAGCTCGTTTTATGAGCCTTGCAGCTGGCAAGATGAAAGGGTTACCACAGCATAGACAGTGTGTGTGTGTGTGTGTGTGCGTGTGTGTGTGTGTGTGTGTGTGTGTGAGAGAGAGAGAGGACTGATTATTAATGACTGTATCCGGCTTGTCATTTTTCCTGGGAATGTCGCCACAGACAACCAGTTCCTAATACTGCAAATACATCACTGGGTCACAGGCTCGATCAGCATTGTTCAACCTCATGTTAACAGACATGTATGTAAATTACATCTTCAAGATAATAACGTTGAACTTGAACCTGCTGACACCAAGTACCACTCTGATACCAGCGCCTTTACCCCCCCTGTATTTAAAAGGCAGATGCTGTTAGCACTCAGATGTCCATAGGCAACAGTGCTATTTGCAGCTGGAATGTAAATAGCAAATGTGGCTAATTACACCCAACTGTATATTCCTTGGCATCCTTGCAAAACCAAAATATGATGTCAACTACAGTGGGTCTATAGAGCTATTCTGCTTAAGTTCATGTGCACAGTGTGCATTAAACAGCTTTATACATCCTTAACAGAAAATAATAATTCAACTAAGTCTTAAAATAATAAACCAGTGTTGACTCACACAGGACTCAAACCTCATTCTAAGTGAAAGTCCTGTGCTTGACCCATTCATCCACCATGTCTTGCTCAATCCATGGACTGTGTTGCTCTTCACACTACGTCACCTGCCTTTCTGTCAGTACATTTGTGAGTTTTTTCACGTAAATCTACCACTTTAATCTCAGAGAATATTTGACATTGGCTAGTAGTAGCCCTAACCATGACCTCTTTGCCCTTATCCTAACCGCCATTTGACCATGACGCATCAACATGAGGAGTACTAGAAAATCAATGCACACAGTGGGATCCATAATAACTAGGGCTGTCAAAAGATTAATCTTCTAATCATGCTTAATCACTGAATTTCAATAGTTAATCGCGACTGATGGCATTTTTAATCGTATGTTTAAAATCCATTATTTTGCATTTCAAAACAATTTTGAAGTCCATATTAACAAGGTAAAGCTGTTTTTACCAGAGTGTCTTGATTGGGAATCAAATAAATGCAAAGAAATTAACTTTATGATCTTGACTTCTGGTTTTATGTAAACAACTTCAAAGTGCTTATTTTGTGAAAAACAGTGTTGTTTATTTTTGTGGGTTTTTTTTTTTTTTTTTTTTTTTTTTTGAGAAAGTGGAGTGACTCCCATATCATTTTGATTACTCACTAACATCCAATGATCCTCAGGTAATGCAACAGCATTTGCACTTTTCAGGAGGTTCAGTTTAGTTGCTTTTTCTGATTCATACAGGTCCTGTATGCATTAAACTATTGTTCCCCATGACGGTAAGGCATATGACTAGGTTCAATGTGCAAACCTAATGATGCTCCCTTAATACATAATATACTTGTGCAGTAGTGTGTCTGTGTCACTCTGCAGTTACACCTCCAAAGTCCCGGCTGGCAGTGGGGTTTCTGTGAAGTGCTGCAAAGTCTGACTGATTCAAAATACACCTTAAACATTATAAAACATGGCTTGATAGCCACAATTCAACTATACAAATTGGCTTCATTATAACTCGCACGATTTACAGACAAAACCGTTTTTCCCCACAAATACAACATGCTAACGTTATTAGCACAAGTCTATTGTATTTTACATTGTATAAATTAGTCTAGCAGCATTCTCCTCTACTCATATGAAGCCGGGATAAATAACAAACAGGTCTTAAAATGCAGGTCTGCAGTCAGTGTTCACCCTAACCCCCTAATTCCCACACTATACCCACAAAATAGTGCTTTGCCAGTTTTGGCATTGTGGTTATCGCTGACATCAGTCTGATCAGCTTCACCTGTATGCTCAGATTATACGTAGTAGCTCAAACTCAAAGTACTTCAGTGATATCTTAATTCTGTTTGACACAAGGTGACAACTGAACCTACTGTGAGGTTTTTTAAAATGAAAGATGCCATTCAAAACCGCAGTGGTAACTTATTTTACCTCACTGCGGTACCAGGGAGTCGCTGCTGCTATGCATACAATTACTAACAAAAATAACTTGTTTGACCGCCCTAATAACAACACTTCGTAGGGATGGGTTTAAATAACTGCAGTATGACTACTCTCACCTGGGTGCATATAGAGATAACTGTTATGTTATGTTATGTTATGTTATGTTATACACTGCTGTGGCAAAATATTGAGTTGACAGTCCAAAGTGACTACATTTATGTAACTGATAGCAGAAACACTACATTTTATAATGTCATTACATGCCGTTTACTTGAGAAAGAACAGCAGAGACATGAGATGATATTAGGGGAAAGAGATAGGGAATCAAATGTGATGAAGGTCCCCAGCTGGAGTCACACTGGGCTCGGTGAATTTTGTGCCCAGCCTCAGTTACAGGGGCGTCCCAACATCCATAAACTACTGAAGTGAAAATAGAAAAGTTTTGTTTTAAACTTATCATTATGATGTAAATGTTGATTGCCCAATGTAATAGCACCATCTACATTTAGATTGGTTTCCTGTAAGCCTCACTTTCACTTTTCAATTTGAAGGGAACTATTTGGATTGTTTTACAGTTAAAAGAAGATGCTTGATTGCAGAAAGCATCAAGAGGGATCCAAAGATGCACTTTATTAAAAGCTATACTATATAACTGCAACTATAACAGCGCACCAGATCTAATCACTCCAAATCAGGCCACTAAAGCTGTGAGGGTATGTTTATGAACGACCCCTGGAAAAATCACTCTCCAGTCTAGTCAAGTGGTCTCAATTTTGAAATCAGCTAATAATACCAGTGATTGAAGGGGGAAGAGAGAGAGAGAGGGGTCGTTTGGTGTTATTTGTTTAAGCTGTGATTACAAATAAAGCATCATAATTAATTTGGCAAGGGTGACTTAATGTTTAAAATTTGTCACATGGCACTTAATGATCTTTTTCTGCAAAGCCTTAATTAGCTACATTTTTTTCAGTCACCAATGGTATGATACTTATAGCATATGAGATCTCCGTTCAAACCCTGTCTGATCTGGGGCCAGTTTCACAAACATATTTTTGACTGGTGTCAAGTGTCAGACCAGTCTTAATGCCGCTGTTAGATTATTCTGGACAGTTTTTTCTTATTCTAAAACAAAAAGTTAGCAACCCTACCCCAGGCTAACTGTGGACTAAGAGCCATGTTTCCATCGTAACAACCTGCTGCCTAGTAGCAAAACATGGGGAAAAAAAACATTATCATGTGGTTCATAATTTGTGGTTTGCTAACAATGTTGTGGAGTGAGCAGTAAAGGAGGAAAATAGTTTTTAGAGACTGCAGTAAAATTTGGAAACTATTCTGACTCTGACAGATGTCCTAGTGAAAGGGGAGCTATTATGATAACGTTTTTTGGTTTGCACTTGTATTTTGGGTTTTTACTAGAATATGTCCACGTGCTTTAATGTTCAAAAAAACACTTCATCTTCTTCATACTGTCTGTTTTAGGACACCTGTATTCACCCTCTGTCTGAAATGCTATGTTTTCACCCATAAGCCTCCCCTCCCGAAAAGGCCCAGTCTGCTCTAATTAATCAGCATTTCTGGGTCTTCCGTGCTCTTGGCGGCTTTCCTGCACCATCATTGCAGCTGGGGAAAGACTGTGACAGAGAACTGTGGCACTTTCTACTCTGAAAAATCACTAATAAAAGCTTCAGAACCAGAATCTTCACAACCCAACATGCTCCAGCAGGAATACGATTTAAAATTAGAGAAAAATCAGTAACATTGGCCACCAAGATTACAGGTTTCACTGATGTTAGCATGTAGCTTCATGTAGCAGTGTAGGCTACGTAATGTAAACACTTGCAGTAGCGTCCCTGGTGGAGAAGAACATATAAAGAAACTGTTGACAAGCTGACATCAGCTTGTCTCGATAGTATAAAAAACGTTAGAAACAGAGCATTCAGACTGTCTAAACTAAGGTTTTTGCCCACAGGGATTACTGATATATACGTACCTAATTATTTGACACTTTGGCCAAGGTTAATATGAACATCTGACATTGTGACACAGTGTATATGAGAGAAAATAAGGAATAGCATGACAGATCCCCTTTAAGATAGTCAAGAACTAAACTGCTTTGTGCAATGGATGAATTTAGATGTCTATTTTAAGTCTGACTAGCAGTTAGATTTAAGTCAAAGTCTGTTTTTGTGAAACCAGCCTGTGGTGTTTGGGTGTACCTGTAGGGAAGACTGAGGGAACGTGGTCTGCATCTCCAGCCACCAGCGAGGGCACGATCCAGGTGAAGCCATAACCTGTGAGGCCCACAGAATGGGCCACCTCGAAGATAGTGGTCGCCTCCTCTTTAGTGCAGTAGAGCAGAATAACAGGGCTTTGCAATTTCTTTAGCTGGTTCTGAATCTTGGAGTCTCCATCGTCCACTGACATGTCCAGTAGGAAGACTTCTTCTAGCTCCCAGCCCACGAAGCTGTTATCGATGGTACTGCGGACCTGGATAGGAAAGGGAGACGTGGTTTAAAAAAGTGTAGGCTGCACACATACAGTGAAGTTGTTCAGAAGAGATACTGGAACAAAACTGACTGAGATGTGTCCTCCTCCAGCTCCCAGATTGCAAAGCTGTTCTGTATTAACACATCTCTTGGGAGTAGGACACAGCGGTCGATTTAAGAAAAAAAAATGTAGCAAGAGCGAGGTTAGGTAATCTCTTTTCCCAAATCTAAAAGCTATATCCTCATACCCACTGACAAAACTGTCATGCAGATAGCAATATGTGATTTTTAGGATTGTGATCCCTAACATATAAATGGGATTTAGATGAAATAAATATTAACTAGCTGTAACAGTGGGGCTGGTATTGTTTTCACCTTGTAAGTCTGTGTGTGTGTGTGTGTGTGTGTGTGTGTGTGTGTGGGTCATCATGGCAAAATATGGTCCTGAAGACACGTGTTGAAGCGGGAAGTACCACAGAAACTGTTTTGAGCCAGGTTTTGGACAGATTTTGTAAACACGATAGCTTTACAAGAGTGCAAGATGCACTCACTAAACTTGACAGGCGTGTAGTTTGGATTACAATGAAAGCTGAGTTCGAAGATGGGTGTGGTCCAAGCAAGGGTGTTGCTTTACGCCCTTAACCCATATTCATTTTAAGTTGCTGATTGCTGTATCCAAGTTTCAATTAATTATTCCTGTCTACTGATCCAGTGCAATCTAGGGCATACTGAAAAAATCTGGCACAGTTCACCTGTTATGCCAAACTCACTGCTCTCATGTCATGTGTTTCATTGCACCAAACACACCAATTTGAAGTTGTGGCTATTGTGATCCCATCGCAAGACGGTCTTTAGTTTTGTTTTTTGTTTTGTGTGTCAGGGTGACACAGTAATGGATATTCAACAGGTGTTATACAGAATGAGTAACAGGCAGAACAAGGCATTTTGTGTGCAGTATATCCCATTATAACACTCAATTTCTTTGTATTGGAGGGAAGAAAAAGAAACCTTGAATCTTTGTGTGCTTGATACTTGCTTGAGAGAGGACAGCAGGATAGAATGAGATTCATGATACTGGTTATAACATAAGCTTTTCTTCCAGCTTGTTTCAATAAGGCTTTGAGTAGTCTGTTTTCACAATATTTTCAGATACTGTGCAGATATACAGTTTGTTTAACAGTAACCTTACCAGTTGATATATATGCATTATACACATTCAACATGAAGCTAATGAACTATGGATACTAAACTCTCTTTCATAACCTCCATTTAGATGATGAATATATATTCCTTTTCTTTTAAACCAGATTGTTACTCTAACTTTGTTCAAAGGAAAGGCCCTGCCATTGCTGCAACATTATTGAGAAATATGATTAGCTGACTTTCAATAACTTTTTATTCATTTCAGATGTGTGTCTGATGTTCAAAGTAATTCAGGATCTCATACTATCCCCTTTAAAGAGTCTGTTCTGAGCCCTGGAGATAAGGAGGCTGAAGCCTCACTGAGTGGCTGCATTCAAAAAGACATGCTCGGCCAATCTGTCTTTTCCATTAAAGCAATCAGAAAATGGAACTCGCTACCCACTTACATCAGACTCCACCAAACCTTATCATTTTTAAAAGCTTGAAATTATGGCTTAAAACCAGACAATCGTGTCCTCAGAAATAGTTGCTTTTTGTTAGGATTATTTCATCAATTGTACATAGTCCTAGCTAAATAGCAAAATATATATAAAAAACATAGCTAAGACACACATCGTATCAAAGGATAAGAAAACAATATGAAAACTACAGTATTTGTCAGGCCTCTTATAATGGGTCCCCATAAAGACAAAAGTAATAACACCTAATGTGGCTGAGACCCAGAGTGAAAGTGAATCTCTCATTTGAATCCACGGTTGAAAAAGTTTACAGGCATTAGATGTATAATAAGTATCCTGCTGCTTCTGGAGTCAGCTTTTATCAAAGGAATACATTCATTTTAGCAGATAATATTCTTACTGTCGAGTGGTATATCAGGTATAAAGGTAGTGCATACACACCTACCGCTATATGCCCATATGCTATAGACTGTTTCGAGTGCATGCTGTATATCACATGTATGTCTTCATTAAAGTGTCTGTTTATATCTTTATTTACCTTGTTGACAAAGTCCTGGTGGCCAGGGTAGTACGTAGTGACTATGGAGAAGATGTACCAGTCATACTCCTCCATGATGTTCAACATGACGGAGGCCTGCTGCTCAATGGACGGACCAAACTGGAAAAACATGGAGTTGTCGTCCTGGAAACCAGAGACAGGAAGCCAATCAGCAAACAAGGTCATGAGTCATGTGGCATGAGAGAGAACTGGAAGGTAGGGCACAGATGATTGTGGAGCGTGTCCAGCTACTGCAAGCCTCAGGAACAAATCTAGTCCTGTTTATAGCTCAGAGTTGTGTTCTATCTGTGTATGCTCTGTAACTGCACGAATGAATATGCAGCAGTAAGACATGTTTTTCATTCATCTACTGTATTTATGATGTTTTAATCCAATACTTTTTTCTTCTGAGCAACGTCAAAGAAGGATTTTCCACTAGTACGAATATTCAAACACAGACAAGGTGACTCATTCATTATAAAGGACCCCTATGAAAGATATAATAGCACATTAAATATGCTACAGAGAGCACAATAGGTATTAAATGTAGGCAGGTATTAGGTTTTAACGATATTAAATGAAGGTTACCAAATGTGTGGACAGACATCTCTTTTTTTTCCAAGGAGAGAGAAAGAAGAGATGAAGTAAGAAGAGCTCTTGGCACTCCAGGAATCTAGTGCCATGCATTGGTCAAGGGCAGGTCAGTCACCCATGTAAAACTGCCAAGCAACTCATCGGGACACAGAAGTCAAGACAGATTATTCATAAGTGTTAGTGACTGGAGGCGACATGGCAGAGGGGCTGTAATGAGAACAGCATCATGTCTGGGTTCTTCTGTGTGTCCAGCGTGAAATATATTGTTGAAAGTTGACTGAGATGACTGGAGGTGTTGGGTCACGCTTAAACATGGTCACTGCTTCAGTGATTCATAGTTTACATTGCTCAAGAAGTCAAGTAAGTGTTTATACTGTATAGTTCAACATCTTGAGAAATGAGTCAAATGAGAAGATTGACATCACTCTCATGTTTGGGTGTTAAATACAGGGCTGCAGGAAGTTGTTAGCCTAGCTTAGCATAAAGACTAGAAACAGGCAAGCAGCAAGCCGAGTTCTTTTCAAAGTGAGAAGCCGACAGCCATGAAATAGGCACAGCAGTTCTTTGAGCTAAATGATAATGTCAGCGTGCTAACGTCTTCACAATGGCAATGCGAACATGCCATGGTGTACCATGTTCACCATCTTAGTTTAGCATGTTAGCATTAAATACAAAGTATTTGATCAAAAACTAGAGTATAGGATACATTTTGACATGATGATGTTAATAAAAAGTTAAAGGATCACCAAAGTCATTACCATTTATCCTCTGGGGAGGAAGAATGTCAGAAGCAAGTGTAATAGCAATCCATCCAAAAGTTGCTAAGACATTTTACTCAAAACCACAATTGTGAACCTCATGGTGACGCTAGGGGAAAAGCCGTGAGAAAGCAAAAGTTATTAGGATTCATCCTCTGGGGAAAATGAATGCCTGTACAAAATCAAATAGTAATTCATCCAATAGACATAGTTGAGATATTTCAATCTGGACCAAAGTAGTGGTGGACCATCCCTAGAGCCTAGAGTCTAGCAATGGCTACAAAGACACATAATACCACCTCCAGAGCAACAATTGAAACTAAATGTAAAAAATCACTAATAGTTAGATTTTTGTTGATGTACAATGCCTGTACTATAAAGCAAGTTCAACATACCCAGGATATCTGTTTGTTATCTAGCGTAACTTACACTGGCCGTATAACACTAGCGGTATAACAACTCTGAAAACTGAGTTTTCCTCTCCAGTCATTGGCGCATTCATGTGAAAAAGGTGGCATTGTTAATTACTAGTGAAATCATCAGAAGCATGAATGAAGTATTTCACATGATATGAGATTTAACAGTGACACTTGTTACCCACAAGAATTTTCTGCTTTAAGGAAAGCAAAAAGTCATATTCACCAGACTGAAATGTAAAAGACTGTAATCTTACAACAGCATGAGAAGATGTAGAAATACTAGATATGTTAAAAGTAGGCAAAGGCTTCAAAATATGAGTAGGTGTTATTATGAATTCAGTGTAGAATAAATGTTTTTTGCTATTTAGTTGGATGATGAAGAAACCTCTCTGAAGATGTCACATAAAAACACCTCAAAGTAATTCCAGACTGTTTCTGCTGCTGAAGAGTGGAAAAGTAGTTAATGACTGATGAGTCTATCTGACCGTAATGTTGCATTTATAATCAAGGGAGCCAATTAATAGTGTGTAGATTATTTTTCTTATAAAAGACACGCTTTTTATTTTTAGCTCTCCTCACACAGGTGTCCCATGTTATTCTGAGTTGCAGTGATGAAATCAGAGTGCACAATCAGCCACACTGTCAGCTATCACTCCAGGGAAAAAATAAACTTCACACAATTAAAATGCAGCTACAATCATCATTATGTGTTTAGTGTTGTAAACAATGTCTCTGTTTGTTAGAGGCTCTATTTTAAAACCAGTGAAAAGCTTGGAAAAATAAAATGATTCTACTGACTTAAAAAATATATACACTCTTTTCACCTGTCATTCGGGACTTTTGTCCATGTTTAGATACTCTTTAACAGTGATCTGACTGATCAGTGGTTGGGATGCTGACAGGCTGTGAGCCAATCCTCTGTAGCAGGTTAGCTGTTCAGAATAAGTTGCCACAGTGATTTATCCTGGTAAAAATTGAACCAGCTTTGTAGTACTGAAAACCCTGAGTTAACCCTGAGGTTACCTTGCTAACCTCAAACCCTGCTCCGTAGTACAGGCCTCTGGTCAGACAACATGATTTAGGGGTATTGGTAGGCACAATTCTTTAACTTTGGGGAGAGTCAGACTAGCTGTTTCCCCCTGCCTTTAGTCATAATGCTAAGCTAGTCTATCAGCTCATACTACAGTATCCTAATCTAACTCACCTTCAAATCCATCATCTTTGCAGTTTACTTACTCTTCAGTGTGCATACAGAATATGATTAAAATCTAGGTGAAATCAAGGACCTTGCACACATCACAGAATGATCAGTAAGAACTACAGAAAATGGTTTTTTAATCAATTATCTCACTTCACTTATTTTCAGCATTTATTTTAAATTGAAAGCCAAAGTTCACTCTTCAGTGACTGTTTACATGTGCCCCCCAGAACAACTTACACTTGCATGCACTGCTACACTCTGTTTATGTTTCATGTTCATGTGCATGTGCATTCATACACATACGTGAACTAGGCGTATTAATCCACGTGTGCAATCGGTCATACATGTTAGTCATACAGGAGGCTGAGCACTGCTCGAGTTAAGTGTGCTGACTCCACTCTACATCAGAACCCATCTCCCCCTTCCTCTGCTTTCTTTTACCCACAGGGACAGAAATGATCTGTTTCCTACTTTTCACTGTAATGAGGTAATAACGTTGCCGTGTCAAGTGATGGTGGAGGGATCGGCAGTAGTGGAAACGAGGGGGGGGGCGTGCGTGTGTGCACACAGACTGAAACCTGCCGTTTTACCTACACTGACAGTAAATACGCTCCACTCTTCTCAGGAAGGTAATGAAGGTATTCTCAGGCATGAACGACAGCTAATGCAGCATTCACCTCTAACCTCACACTTCCATCATTGTTTTAACATTTCAGCTTCAACATGCTTTTAAATGACTTGTTCTACATGTACTTTACCCTGACATTATTATTCTATCTGTGGATCCAGTCATTTTTCTATAACCACATTCACTATCCCTCCCCACTGTTCACCACACACACACAAACCTCTTCCTGTCTTTAAAGGTTGAAGCTGGGGGTAATCTTTGTTTTTTGTTTTTTTTTTGCTGCCCACAAATCCCTTAAAAAGATCAAAACTAACAATGAGTTGATCCCACTAACAAGCATTGTCTAGCCAAAGCCTGATATAGCTTATTCCTTTGTGCCACAGACCTTCAAAGACTAATAAAAACATATCAGCTGAGCCCTTTTAAAAGCTAAATTACATATTTATGACCCATTTTAAAAGATTTGCATCTTTAGCAGGAACATATTAGCTTGAGAATGGGTTGCACTGACCAGGTATGTAAGCTGAAAAGACTAGACAGGTGGACGAGATGGTTTTAGTCTTTTCATAGGCTTTGCTGAAAGCATGAAAAATATAAAATAACACCAACCTTATCCTTTAAAGGTCAGTTCACATAAAAAAGACAAAACATACTGGCTCACCTTTGCTGCAGTTTGGTTTTATTTGCCACGATTCTGAGCTATTTCTGAGTTGCTGCCTCATCTCTTCTTTACAGTGAAGGTGGTTTGTCATGCTCTTAGCACTAAAAAGTTATACCAAAGAAATCAACAGCAACATCTCTTCTCAGAAAAAATGGATAATTAACAGAACTGTCAATAGTTAACATAAGGACTATTTCTTCAGCACAAGGCAATGGCCACAATTGAGGACACCAAGGTAATTTCCTGAATATCTTATTTATTTATGTATTCATCGTGTTTGACTTTAGGGAGGGAGGTTCAAATTTACAATTAAAAACTAACACATGGTGGTTATTTCATAAGCTGTTTCCACTATTCTTTCGCCGGGTTCAGACAGCAGGCAGAAGTGAAAGCACATTGATGCGTCAGTTCTCTCACTCGCAGTAGCCTGGCCGTTCACAATTTCTTTAAAAGAGCAATTCTGCTCCTCTGCTCTTTAGTAATCACAGGTAGAGCTAATCTTTATCATGGGTAAGTAATAACCTCATGCATTTATAACACAAAGCTGTCTATGTGTTCCTGGTTAACAACTGTACATGTATGTCCGCTTCTGGAGCGTCTAGAGTTTTTATCAGAGTAAACACTGAATGAATGGCCACACTATAAAAAAAGTGTTTGTTACCAGTGCAGTGTAGTTAGGTCTGTAGCTTGTAGATGCACAACAGACAGATTACAACCAAAATAATGTGTAAATCCAGTTTTGATGTTTTTTGATTTGGTTGGCAAATATGGGGTGTATATTTTATCACTTATCATAATTAGATCATTAATCATATCATATAATGCATCCTTTATATTGTTTGTAATAGATAGTAAGTGTGTTTACCTGCCAGATGTGCGTGTG